TCGGCTTCTTTACAGTTTCCCCCGCTCTTGCTGTAGTCACCAGAGCGTTGTGACGTACAGTTTGTTTGCTTCGCTTCAGATCGCAGAAGCCGCACAGAAGTAACGTGCTGTGTTACTGAGGGGTGAGCCTGTGTTTTCTGCCGCCGAAGCAGCTGCCGCGTTAAGCTCCGGCTTCGCTGCGCTGGTTTCTGCTCGCTTGCTGTGTTGGTATGAGCTGAAAAGACCAAGTGGTGTTTCCTGAATCAGGAATAATGCGAGGCAGGTGGAGGGGAGGAAGGAGTGTGGGTGTAACTCAATACGAAAATGAGCAAACTCTCCTCTGTTTGCTTGTGAGGCAGGGCTGGGAGAAAGAGAACCCGGCTGGCCCGGGTGCGTTGGCCAGGGGAGGCTCCTGGGGCTGCAGGGACTTTTTCTGAGGAATTGTACTCCTATGCCTTTTCCTCCCTTTCCCCGTTCGGTCCCCGTGTGTTGCCTGATCTAGTTGAGAGGCGTCCCTGCCCATGACGGGGAGGTTGGATTAAGTGATCTCTGAGGTCCCTTCCAGCCTGGGCCATTCTATGATTCTTGGCGGTGACCGAGCAGAGTTCACTTTCCTACGTGGGAACACTCGGTGTGCCCTTGGGGCTGTTTGACAGTCTTTGCTCACGTGGAGTAACAGCAAATAACAAGTTCAGTTTAACAGCTGTGTATCAATAACTATTTCTTACAAGCCAGGAAATCGGCTTAGTGTAGGAATGACACAAAAGTCAATTTATACATAGATACACATAGAAAAAGCTAAAATGGATTTATTTAGCTATGTCTTATATTTGCCAATCAAATAGATATTTGTGAAGCTGGGTTTTTTCTCTCTTTGGTTGGATAGATGAAAACATTGCCATCGTAGTGGTTTGGGGTTATTCAGAAAAGGTCTTTGTGATTTTATATGTTGCGTAAAAAAATGCCATCAAGCTGAAGGAGGCATTAGCAAAGAGGTACCGTGACAGGGGCTGATGTTTTAGTTAGTGTTTGTCACCGGTCGTTGCGTGCCAGATTGGTGTGTGGTTGACCAGAAAGGCCAGTCTCCACAGAGATAGTGAAAACTCAACTGGAGAGGTCAGTGGAGGACACCCCTGCAAAAGTCTCTCTTACCCTGAATCGCTTGGTGTTGATCCTCAGGGAGCAGAGCTGAGAAAGCAGCTGCTGTGGTGCGGTGCAGCCTGCAGGGACCTCTGTAGGTGCTCACCGTTGGCACTGTGGGCAGTGGGGTCTCGGAGTGGAGACCCTCAAGTTCTGGGCTTCCTCCAAATTGGAGGGGAAAAAAGTCATTTGTTCCAGAAATAACGGTTGCAACACCAAAATGAGGAGGTATAGGAGTCTCCAAGGTATGTATGGGTATGCTAGTACTTCATGAAATCCTTGACTAATGTTAATTTTTGCACTAAGCAGCTGCAGCAGTTCTCACGGGTTTGTTTAAACACAATTGGTTTAAACTGGCCATGCATATAGCTGGGGTAGGGACATTCAATGAAGGGTTCTGGCTATCAAAACAGAAAGATGCTGGAGAAGATTATATAGCGTGGTTGCATGTACAAGTAGGGACTGAGCAGATCTGTGCTCTCTAGTGTTACTTGATCAGGAGTTAGAGGAGAGGTGGCCCATAAGAAACTCAGTACTGGGTGTACTGGTGATTTTCAGGCTTTTTTCTGTCATTGCTGTCCTTCCTCCTGTCCTCTCCATACATCTAAAACTAGTCTTTGGTGTTACCTTCATTGCCAGCTGAGATACACACTATGATGTAAAAAAAAAAAATTTCACCAAGGTTTTAAGGAAGATGGTGATGTCAGAAGGAGTCTCAAACTGCAAATCCCTCAACGGAAATGATATCAATGTTACTAAAACCAGCGTGTATTAATGCATAGTTGGTGCATTAGGGAGACTTTTGGGGATGCTGTGACTTTGTTAAACCCTTGCAGGATGAGAAGGACACACTCCACATCAGTGAAGAAGTCCTGACTTCCTGAGGTTGCCAGCTGTGTTTATATCCTTTTAAAGAATGCTTCCTATAGCTTCTAGGCCAGAGCATTTAAAGATGTTGCTAATGCTTCAGCATAGAACTAGGTGGTACATTAAAACATTTGTGCTTCACAGGGTTAGAGGTAATTCTGTTGCCTTGATTCTTTAAATATCTAAAAGAAAATTCCAGTTCATCTATTTCCATCAGAAATCAGTGTTTTTGGGAAGGACAATTTCTTCCTGAGGCAAAGCAGAAGTACCTTACTGGGACTGGGCTTAGCTAACCAGCTGATGGCTTGTAAAGAAAGACAGCTGCCAGTAGTCTTTGAAGCTCGCCCGAGAACAGGGGAAGCTGTTGCCAGGAGGTTGCACTTCAGTCCCGTTAGAAGGAAGGTGACAGTGTGGAGTCTTCCTCGTGCATACGTCTGTGCCTATGGCAAAGTACTTTCCAAGTTCAGAATCCTGTACTTGTGTTCAGGGAAGTGATTGTCTAAGTTCTGATAAACAAGATGCTTTCTCTGGTACTTGCTCATTTAAAATCTCCTAGAAATTAGGACTCTGCCTTAAGTGTATTTTATTCTCTTTGTTCAGTGTTAGAGGGTTTGACGAGCCTGGCAACAGTCTGGCCCTTATTCACTTTCCTGCATGCTGTGTTGTGCTGCAGACTTTATGTTAAACAGAAACAGAACAAGCATCTCTGAAATTAAGGAGTCTCCTCTCTTTTTTTTTTCTTTCATGAAGAATAAGAAAAATAAAGCCCACTGTACAGAGCTAATAATAACCCCACTCAGCTTTTAGGTTGACATTTGAAAACTAGTTTTTTTATGCTGGTCAGGTATTACGATAATAGCTAAGCTAACTATTATCTTGTTTTTCTGTTGTAGTACAATAGGGTTTGGATCCCTGATAATGATGAAGTTTGGCAGTCTGCGGAAATCACGAAAAACTACAAGGCTGGAGACCGTTTTCTCCATGTGCAATTAGAAGATGGAACTGTAAGGAGAAAAGCCTTAGTTATTGTGGCGTTTGCTGAGATATGTTCATGTAGAAAAACAGGACCTGAAATACTTATCTCTATTTTCTTTTATGCAAACTCTGCAGTGACCAGAATTTTATCATTGAAATTTGTAGAGTAAGAGGCTGTTACAAAAAAAATATGAAGAGTGCAGTTCTACTATCTGTATAACATTAGTGTAGAAAAATTACCTCAAACATCACTTGACTTTTGAAACAAGCACTGAAAGTCATCCTAAGGTGAAGTATATCAGAAGTCTAAGGCAGGCATGGTTATTTCTCACAGAGCTAGCTGTCGCTTTTTATTCCTGAAGTTGTTGCTTTGTGTAAAATCTGTTAATTTTAGTATCTGAGTTCTTTGCAGATTTAATATTTTGAAAATGGTATTTCTGCATTTCTGTTCTGTAAAGACAAGTGTTAAATATATGATTAAATGGATTTGTTGAAAGAAAGAGAGGTGAGTTGTAAAGTCTGTGTAAAGAAGACTGAAGGGTTGCAAATAAGGGTAGTTTGGGATCTGACTGAAAATCTGGCCAGGTGTTTGCTTTCATTCAGTTGCAGCTGGTCTGCTCTTTTCATCTGTGCTTGAAATATGCATGTGTTTAAAGAGCTAAAGGCATTTCCTATTTTTACAGATTTTGATACAAAATACTGTAAATAAAGAGAATGTAGCTTTCTGTTTCATAAACAGAGAAGAGGTTTGTCTTACTTTCATGATCTCCAAGTTCCCTAAGTTCAGTGGGATATATGGAATTGATAAAATATAAGAACAGACAGGGCTCCATCAACCCTGTAACTTTGCGTAAAGGCAGAACATCAATTTGTGTTTATGCAAACAAAATGCATTTTGTATTTCAAGTCATTTTTGTTGACAGGAACTGAATTACCCTGTTGATCCAGCTGCCTTGCCACCCCTACGAAATCCTGACATACTCGTTGGCGAAAATGATCTCACCGCGCTTAGTTATCTCCATGAACCAGCTGTTCTACACAATCTTAAAGTTCGTTTTATGGAATCTAAGCTTATCTACACCTATAGTGGTAAGCAAAGTAAAACGCAAGGTTTAAAAAAACAATCTAAAAAAAAAAAGGTTAGTTTGCAATATGATGTGAGTCATGTTTTCCTCAGGTGTAACTCATTCAAGTTAACTTATTTTTATGTGGGTATAGATTGGATTGTTCATCAGGATCTCCTGTCTAACTTAGAAAATAGTGTTATTTTGTGTCAGTTTAACTGTTGTTGCCAACACCTGGCATTTCATTGAACTGACCTATGTTTTGTTTTTCTTTTGTACGCTTGGTTCTAGGAATAATTTTGGTTGCAATAAACCCCTATAAACAGTTGCCGATATATGGAGATGCTATTATCCATGCATATAGTGGGCAAAACATGGGGGACATGGATCCACATATATTTGCTGTGGCGGAAGAAGCATACAAGCAAATGGCAAGGTTCAGTATGTCCATAATGTTTATAATATATATTTTTCTATTATGTTTTTGTAATTAATGTCTGTAAATTACACTTGAAGTCTGGTGGCAGTCGATGTTAATTGTAATTTAATCTAACTCTGTATGTGCCACTGGCTGTTAAGCATGCCTTTGAATGGGTAGCATAGCTAGAGGAAGAGTAATTCCTTAACCAGCGGAGGAGTTCCTAGAACCCGCAACTATTTTCATGTGTGATGAGGGGCAAAATGCTGCCCTAGCTGCAATGGCATCAGCCTAGGTGTTACAACCGAAGGGGATTAAGAGAAGAACAGGTGAAAGGTGGGACTTAGCAGAGAATTGACCACAGCTTTGTTTCATATATTTGTTTCTTACGTATAATTCTTACATTTATCCATGCCTTTTAGATGTGTCTGCTTTAATCTGTCTGATTATTTGCTTTCAGAAATAACAAAAATCAGTCTATTATAGTCAGTGGAGAATCAGGAGCTGGAAAGACTGTGTCTGCAAGATACACTATGAGGTACTTTGCCACTGTGAGTAAGTCAAGCAGCAATGCACATGTGGAGGATAAAGTGTTGGCATCCAATCCAATAACTGAGGTAAGTTTCGGAGAGTATCTGTCAAGTCTGTACTCACAGAGGAAAGAATTCTGAGAGCTGCTGGGCATCTTTGTTTCAAATCTTTAGGGATGTCTTAGCTGCCTGAGTTAGATATCTGAATTAGAAGTTTAGCCTCTGAGTGTTAGTGATGGAATTGGTAGTTGGCTTCAGGAACGCCCAGCTTCTGCCTGATTTACCAGTGGCCCTTTGGAGGCACTAGTTTGCCTCCAGAGCTCTATCTAACAACATCCTCTTAATTAGATGTTGAGAGAACAGTGCTGAGCAAGTAATTTGTTTGGTTTGGTTAAGATTCCTTATGTACTTGCTCTAATTCTCATTTTGTGTAGTGTTACGCTATTTGACTTATGGTTTATCTTCAAATTTGTGCCTCAGTTTAAATCTCACAACTCAACGCTGAGATTGATTCTTGAGCACCTTTGATTTTATGAACTTGTGGTTGAGTCATGTTTTGACAAAGTTATTCTAATGAACGGTGCAAATAAAACAAGTTTTAGAAGTTTATGATTTTTGTAGGCTGTCGGCAACGCAAAAACCACACGGAATGATAATAGCAGTCGATTTGGAAAATACACTGAGATCAGTTTTGATCGGAGTTACCAAATCATTGGAGCTAATATGAGAACATACCTGCTTGAAAAATCCAGAGTTGTCTTTCAGGTGGGTAAAATAAAGTTAAAATTAGTCAATGTCAGTATAGCTACTAAAGTACTACGCTTTACTAGTTTCATATAGAAAATGTTATGTGAAGTTCTGAATAGTATGACTAAGCAGCATTTGTTTTTTAATAGGAGCTAGTCTTATTTTTAATAAGAAACTAATTTAGTCCCTGTTATTCTTTGTGTTAAACAGAAGATATCTTGGGGACAATTCCCTGGGATAGGTGCAAGAAATATTTGAGAAAACTGTGACTTTCAGTCGCAGTGGTAACATGGTCCAGTTGTACCTGGAAGGGAACGGGATATATAGGGCCAGAGAGAGCCTTGGTAAAAAAACTGGCTGAAAATTTCTAAGGCCAGGGCTTGTTGAATGTGACTTGCTACAGTGTCAGAGCATAATTAGGATAATCTGCTAAAGAAAGCATTTAATTTTATAAAACTGTTTTTACAAAGTTTTCCTTTTTAGTCTTACTGTAACTTTTTACAGTATGAAAAGTACTTCTATATATACCTGCTGCCCGAAGGAGTCTTCTGAGTTACCACGGGTCGGTGTTTCAGCTGGCACTCCTGCACAATTATTCATTACATTATTTTTCAGTTCTTTTTTGTAGATAAGGTTGTTCAAGCTGAAGAAAAATCAGGGTAACAGCCTTGGGGAAAGAACTCAGCATATTGCTAATGGAAATAAAGTATACTTGAATTTATCAAAGCTTTTGCTGAAGTCATAAGATCTGCCATTTTATTATTGGACAATTTCTTTGACAGACTGTTGCAGCTGAATTTAGCCTTCAAGTATCACTGTCTCTTCAGAGTAGTGTTGTATATGGAGCGTTTTTCTCTTTCTTTGGTGGTGGTTTTTTCCTTCTCTAATGGTATCCTTTGCTTTAATTTACAGTCAGAGAATGAGAGAAACTATCATATATTTTATCAGTTGTGTGCATCTGCTATGCAACCTGAATTTAAGCATCTTAAATTAGGTAGGTCTCAAGAAAATAACTTACTCTTCACTTTCGCAGTGCAGTGTTTTGAAAATTGGATTTTCGAATGCTAGGCTGTTAAGTGCTTTATAGCACAGATCTCAGAATTAACAATGGGACTTGCCTTTTTAAGTCACTTAGCTGTTAATCCTGCATGTATTGAACTTGGTAGCAAATCCCTAGTAACTTGAATAGTCATGATCAAGCACCTAATGTCACTGAAAATCTTACTCTAATACTTTCTGTAGTGACAGATGCCATAACGACAGTTTAGGGCCTTGATTTTACCTCCTTGGAGGTCTGGAGAACCAGACCTTACACATATATTTACTCCATCTTCATTCCTGTTTGTTTATTAGTTCATGTTAAGATTGCTAGGAATTATGAATACTAATTTGCATCAGATTAATGGAGTTAGACACATGGATTTCTCTTAGAGTACTTCTAACTCATTGCTATCTTCTGACAGCATCTTTGATTTTCTGATGTTACAAGAATCTTTAACAAGTGGCTATCCCCAGACCCAAGTTTTCCAGCATTACAAGTTTTGCTTTTTGTCTATAGGAAGTGCAGAAGAATTTAACTACACAAGAATGGGTGGCAGCCCAGTAATAGAAGGAGTTGATGACAGAGCAAATATGGTGGAGACTCAGAAGACATTTGCCTTGCTGGGTAAATTGTTGGGGAAAGCTTTTCAATAGATTTAAAAATTGGGAGTTTTGTGGGGGTTTTTTTCCGAAATGATCAAAGTTGTATTGTTTCTGAAATGTCCATAGATGTTACTAGTAATTCCCAAAATAATTTCTTCCATAGCCTGTCCACTGTGCTGTTGGTCTGTTTTAAAAGTACTAGGCGAGAGCACATGGCTGCTAGTAATTGGTGTTTAAGGTTAATGGCCAAAATTACTAAGGACTGGAATCTTCTTGGCCTTTAAGCTAAGGCGCTGCAGCAGAAGTGGAATTGGAAGCGTCTTCACCCCTTTCTGTGAAAACCAAATCATACTTGAGCTGGCACTTGGGGGAGGTACAGGAATTTATGCCTAACCTCTCATCCGATCAGACAAGCAGAAAGTAGGCAAAACCAAGGCTTTACATAGTGGTCTGCAGAGATGCTCTACAGTTCCTGGCTACACAGCAAAGCAAATAATCCATCATTGTGCTGTTTAGAATAATTACACTGTCCTGAATATCTATAATAATCAAGAATTGGCATTTTTTTTAGGTCTGAAGGGGGATTTTCAGATGGATGTTTTCAAAATGCTGGCAGCAATCTTACACTTGGGCAATGTGGAAATAACAGCTGTTGGAGATGAAAGATCATCCATCAGTGTAAGGAAGTAGCTCGCTCAGATACCAATGTTTTCTTTCCCATTCTATGCCAAAAGTCCTTTAGCAATATTTTTTTTTCATATCTGGGGCTCAGAGCTGCATTAAATCTGTGTACTAAATTTGAGAGATTTCTCCACCTTTCTCTGTATAGAAATGCAGCGAGTGTTTATGCGAATCCTGTTTTGTGCCAAAGTTTGCAAAGTCTGAAGGAGAGGCAGAATGTGGCAAAAAGAATCCCATTGGGATGCAGTTAACCCACAGCTGTCGGAAAAGCCATTTGGGACTGTCTGCAGGATAGAGGAAACAGCATTGTCAAAGCTGCTCAGAATGTGTCCCAGCAGACCATGCAAGTCGAAAAAACAAGGACACCGAATCATAGTCTGCAGTAACCTTTTCTGTCAGTGTCTTAATCGAAAGCATCTCACCCAGTCTTAAGTTTTTCTCTCCTGTATCAGGAGCTCTTATCCAGTATTATCTGCTTTAGCTCCTCTTGGTGAAAAATTGAACAGAGCCCCTTGTCTATCTAAAAATAAAAGTCGTAGCTTGATATCGGTAGTACTGGGATTTCACTGTCTAGACAACGGTTCAAGTATGAAATGTAATGTAATAGTGTTTACTCATCTTTTCTAAAGCTGGAAGATAAACATCTCAATATATTCTGTGAACTCCTGGATTTAAAACGTGACAAAATGGCACAGTGGTTGTGCCACCGAAAGATTGTCACTACCTCCGAGACTGTAATAAAGCCAATGACAAGAGCTCAGGCTGTTAATGCAAGGGATGCCCTGGCGAAGAAGATCTATTCACATTTATTTGACTTCATTGTGGAAAGAATTAACCAAGCTTTGCAGTTCCCTGGCAAACAACATACTTTCATTGGTGTTTTGGACATTTATGGGTAAGAATGGCTCTGGGAAGAAATTCACTTTTCAAGATGTGCCTTTTCTTTGGAGTTGATAAGAGGCGCTTTTCAGTTTGTGATGCTAATGAATTTGGAAGGGTTAGTTTTACTAAAAGGTCACAGTCATGTGAGTTCTTTAGCATTCAGAGTAGTGAAAATGTTCAGCAGCTATAAATGCTGAATGAGGTTTAAATTTAACTTTTTGATGTGATAAGTTTAGATTTAAATTTACATTTTTTAGCTCTGTTATGTCTGGTAAAATGAACTTCTAGGGAAGTTTTGAAATGCCTGAGCATCATTAGTCTAATGGCTATTTATTTTAGTTAGAAATATTAGGATAACTCCAAAGTCTTACAAGAATACTACTATTTGTATTTAAATGTCAAGGGATTTTTTTTTTCCTTATGTGTTTCAGCTTTGAAACATTTGATGTGAACAGTTTTGAACAGTTTTGCATCAATTATGCCAATGAAAAGCTGCAGCAGCAGTTCAACCTGGTATGTTCTTTTATTTATTACAGTTCTTTGTCTTATTTTTCTTCAGTTTTGAGATTATCTATAATGCATGTTAGCAAATACTGTTTATATTTGAGTAATGGATATTCTTGGATAATGGCTACCCTGTAATAGATTAAAGTATTTATATATATATACATACATACACAGATATATAAAAAATAAAATGACTGAGTTTATTTTCTGTTAGGACAGACATGTATGTAGTAACATGCAAGCACACATATTTATTTTCTTCCTTACATTTCTATAATTTGCATGTATCTAGCATGTCTTTAAACTTGAACAAGAGGAATACATGAAGGAAGATATCCCATGGACTTTAATAGACTTTTATGACAACCAGCCTGTCATTGACCTTATTGAAGCTAAAATGGGAATTTTAGAACTTCTGGATGAAGAGTGCTTGGTAATTTAAAACTTCTTACATTTAAAACTCATGAAAACCTTTACATTTTTTACAAGTTGGGCTTGTAATACATATTTTATCTTTTAAAATGGGAAGTAGGGTGTTTTCCTCATAAAAAGAACATTAATATTGGCCATCTACTTGGTAATTTTAATTGTGAGGCACTTAGTGTATTTTTCTCGTATAAAGCTAAGGATTTAAAACTAGATTCCTACCTTGAAGCTAACCCAGCAACCAGAGTTCTTCACTGTGAGGGCAGTGCAGTACTAGAAGAGGTTAAGCAAAGGTTCAGACAGCAGCTCGATCTAGCACTGATGGTCGTCTCGCTCAGAGCAGGAATTTGGACTACCCAGTCTCCAGGGGTCTCCTCCACCGATATTTCCACGATCTAGTTATTCCACAAATCACACAAAACCCCACTCTTCCTTTCCTTTCCTTTTTATAAGTTAATGCACCAAACCTACATCTTTGCTTTTACTTCTGCAGTCTTATTCTTTCTTTCTCTGTGCTCTCTCCCGACTGTAGCAGTTCCCAAATCTGTGTTCTTTTTCTTCTGCATATCTGTGGTTCCCTTAGGCTTCCAAACTTATTGAAGCAGATTTGTCAGTGAAGAACTGGCCAGGGAAAGGTAAGCCCTGTTAAAATGGTCCCTGAGAGGTGTTCTAGTGATACTGGCAGAATCCAAACTGGGAGTAATATGGGAGAAATTAGGGAACATTCTCTAACTCATTAGCTTATCCATTATTCTGCTCCTTAGCATTCTCAGGGATCAGGTTGCCCCTGATTGTAGGCAGCGTCTTCTCAGGACAAAATTATATATGATTCATCAGAGAATTAACTTTAGTCAGCAAATCTGTGTATTAATGTGACCTTTTCTCTTAAAATTATCTGCTACAGGGAGCCACTGGTTAGACTCAAAAGCCAGGAATTGGTTGTTACCAGGCCTGGTAACTCACTGGTTATGTTTTATTCAGATTGTTTATTGATAGTGAGCAATTTTACTCTTTTAAATAGTCCAAAAGAGTTTGGTTAAAGAGATTGGCCTTCTCATTTTTACAGTTACCTCATGGAACAGATGAAAACTGGCTTCAGAAGCTCTATAATAATTTTGTGAATAAAAACACACTCTTTGAAAAGCCGAGGATGTCGAACATGTCTTTCATCATTCAACACTTTGCTGATAAGGTAGAGTGTAAACAACTCAGTATTACTTCAACCTGTTTCTAGCAGTAGCTCATTCAGAAAAGAAACAAACTTAGAAAATAGAGGAAATATTAACTGCACTTGTTTGAAACCTCTATAAATCCAATCTTCAATACATAGTACTATTTATTTATTGATAGTACTGCCCGTAACTTGTCATTTAAACATAAATATAATGAATTTGAGAGTATAAAATTAAGTCATCAAGAGATAGAAAAAGAGTACAATGTGTAAATAAAATAGTCAAGATTGTAGTCCTTGCACATTTTAGTCTCAGTTATTTACATTTCAAATGTAGCAGTCCTTCTCTGGTGTTTTCATCTGAAACCATAAAATAATGAAGAGAGGAGGAAAGAAATTCCTAATGAAAGCAGAAGGAAACTGCAGTCCGTAGTGGATTCTGACAGTTTGTCTTACTTCTAAATTTGGGGTATGTAGGTATGTATGCCTGCTGGAACGAAACTGTTCAGCCGTAGTTTTAAGACGACTGAAGAGCCGTTGGCGTCCACAGTAAATTATTGCTTTGTTAATGGTTCATGTATTGCTGAAAAGCTAATGATTTCACCTGTTTGCACAGGTGGAATATAAAAGTGAAGGATTTCTGGAAAAAAACAGAGATACAGTACATGAAGTATTGATTGAAATCTTGAAGGAGAGCAAGGTTTGTGAATAATCCGTAATGATTAACTTTTTGAATACCTGATTTTACTGGAATCATTCAGACCTGATGCTACAATATTTCTTCTGGGGAAAAGTGGAGGGTTTTGATAGGTTGAAGCAATTAATCTTGTTTTTTATTGATATCCTACAATTATGTATTTTTAATATCAAAATAACATACAAGATAGAAACCCATAGTATTCAGCTTTTTCATATATGTGTGTTTACGAATCCTTGTAATGGAACAACTCAATTTATTTATTTTTTTCCTATAGTCATTACGTGTAGCTTTGGTAGGTAGTTTACCAGGAACAGCTGCCTTTGTTTTTTCTCCAGAAGAGGTTAGGAGAGTGCCAGGGCAGGGAAAACATCAGGTGTCTTATGTGTCTGCCCCTTCCCATCTGCTTGAAGGCCCAGTCCTTTTCATGTCCACAACCTTGAGACTTCAGGATTACTGTTAAGAAGCTAATTTAATCTGACCAAAGAGCGTATTTGTAATATAAATTAAATATTGGGAGAGTATAACCTTAAGGGGTCTTATTTTTAACCCTGTTCTGTATTTATGTCCATATTTGCTCATATTGAAGTGGCTTTTGCAGGCCTGCTTAACAGCTGTCAAGTTCTATCTGTGAAATGTGTAAGTGCTTCACAACAGATTCAGAATTGTTGCAACTGTTCCTTCAGTTTTTTTTGGCTTAAAGATTTGGTACCAAGTCCTGCAATACTTGGCCTAAGCATTAAGTTGGATGGGTTTTGCCTTTTGCGTTACGGTAAATGTAGTTTCTGATTAAACGTTATTACAGTTACGCAGTATTTAACTGTGATTCTTTCACCACACTTTTAGTTTCATCTGTGTGCAAATTTTTTTCAAGACAATCCAGTGTCCGTTTCACCTTTCAGTTCAACTATAAACATCAAATCTGCAAGACCTGTTCTCAAGCCACCCAACAAACACCTCCGGATGACAGTTGGCAGTAAGGTAGCACACAAATGTGATGCTTCTGCTTTCAGGGAAGGTCCTGGGCAGCCTGGGGCTGTGACACGGTTCTGTTTGTGGTCACAGGGGACTCGCCAGTTTTTGGCACAGCAGGAGCGAGCCACAGTGCAGTGCTCTGGCTCTGGGTAGAACTACGCTTGTTTAATTTTTGGGTAGGAGACTGTAGGTACAGCAGGACAGATTTCCTGCGTTTATGATCTAAACCCTGAAAATTTTTCCAGTGTCCCGCCAAAACCGAACAAATAATTAAAAAACTAATACCTGACTTAGCTGCCTATGGTTTATTAGCAAAACTGGTATGTCTGGTATTTTCTAGTTCCGGAGCTCTTTGTCTTTGCTTATGGTGACTCTTAATGCAACAACCCCTCACTACGTACGATGCATAAAGCCGAATGATGAGAAGTTGCCTTTTGAGTAAGTATGTTAGTGGTGTTGAGCTGTTACGTTACTTTTAAAAGAGTATTCTTCTATTTCACAGTATCTGTGTGTTAGCAAGCTAAATTCTTATTGTTGAACAACTTCCCGTAGCTGAAGTGAAAAGAATATTGTCTTCTTACAAAAGTAAAATAATTCAGTAATAGTTATAGATACCTTAAAATCTCTTTATTATGGATGTTTGTGTATTGTTGTAACATTTTTAGGGGAAAGGTTGTCCAGGTTTAGTTTAAATAGGTGGATATTTTGTACAGGTATCTTTGTTCTTGTACAGTATGGACTAGCACCAGTTCATATTTAGGGAATAAAAGCCACTGCCATTTTCTTTGAGAACTTCTTTTGTCCACAGAAATATTTAGAAGAGCTCTACAAGTGAGAAAAGCTACAAGCAGTGTTGAACATAGGCCTTTTCCCACAATTTTATATAATTTTAAACTTACAATACAATTTTATATGCCAGATAATTTGCATAATTCCTATGACTGTCTTTTTCTTCCCAGTAGACTGCTGAAGGAATTTATTTCTGTGTGTTTTATGCCGAGAGAGGCATGATTCTTTGTCACTTGCTGATACGAACTGTCACAGTTAATACTGAAAGGAAACAAAATTTTTGAGATGAGAATATAGTTCTCCTTTTGTTTTGAGGAAGAAAAAGAAAACTCAGATACTCCCTCTCTCACATAAAAAACACTGACGAACCTAGGACACCACATAAAAAGTAGAGAGCCCTGCCTCCTATGGGCAGAAATAGAAAACCTGCTAGTAAGATGGTTCTAATTATTATAGTATACTAAGCCCAGCAAAAATGTAAAATGTAAGTCTGCTTTTTTAGGTTTGATTCGAGAAGAGTTGTTCAGCAACTGCGAGCGTGTGGTGTTCTGGAAACTATTCGAATTAGTGCACAGAGCTACCCATCCAGGTAGGAACAGTAGTGGGCCTCCATATGTCAGAAAATACTGGAGTGTCTCTTAAATGAACTGCATTTGCTAACTTTTAATTTTTCAGGTGGACTTACATTGAGTTTTTCAGCCGTTACAGCATTCTTATGACACAGCAGGAGCTCTCCATAAATGATAAGAAGCAGATTTGCAAGACTGTTTTGCAGCGGCTAATCCAGGTTAGTCTGTATGCACTGACCCCTTGTGTATTATAGCTTCTATCAATAATAAAAACTCTCTGTTGCCAAGTGTAGTATCTCACTCCTCAAATAGGGAAGATATTTACCTTATTATTTCCTGATTTACTGTATTGCACATACGCTTGCAAGTCAGTAACCTCTTGTTATGACACAGTCATGACAAGGGCACAGATAGATGATACGATCTCTCTGTGCTTAATATTGTAAACTTGTAAAGTGGAAGGTACTCTGCTCATATTTGTAAACCATCAAACAGTAAATGATGCACATTTGTCAAGTATTAGGAGTTTTACACACACAAGAGAGCTTTTGATGGTGGAGCATATTGGAGAACTGTTTTAAATCTGTGCTATTTTGCATAATGCTCTTACTTATTAGACAAGCCTGTGGTGATGAGGCTGGTCCAAGTCAAGCCAGTGTTTAGCTTCATTGTGTCAGGACTGAGTTCAGACTCAGGGATCTGTAAGACCAAACACGGGTGTGCTCGCAGGATAGCCCTGGCAGAGGCCGAGAGGATGTTCTTGTTTAGCAAGAGCTTGCTTGAAGTGTCAATTCATAAAAAGAGAGTGTCTGATCTACAATAATAAACTAAAAATGTAATACACCTGGTTTTTTTTTCAGGATCATAACCAGTATCAGTTTGGGAGAACAAAAATTTTCTTCCGAGCAGGGCAGGTTGCTTACTTAGAAAAACTGCGATCAGACAAACTGAGATACGCATGCATCACGATCCAAAAGAGCATTCGAGGCTGGCTGCAGCGGAAGAAATTTCTTCGCATAAAACAAGCAGCTGTTATAATCCAGCAGTATTTCCGAGGGCAGCGGACTGTGCGGTATTTTTGGCTGATAAATAAATTTGTTGTTGTTTGGTTTTGCCTGAAGGGATACAGAAGGTCTAACGAATACACAACACTAATTTGGAAGTGTAATTTTTACAAAAGAGTAATTCAGATTGTGTTTCCATTTCCTCTTATTGCAATTACAGACTTGAAAATGTTCAAGTGATTCAACTGATGTGAAGAAAGGGCTCTAGGACATTTCAGATGCTGTCTGCCAGGTTCCCAAGAGGCCTGGCTACCTGTAATCTCAGTCCTTAGCTAATGATGCATGACCCACTTGTCAGCTTGGGCTTAATCCTTAGCTTCAGAGCCAGAGAAGAAATCAGCAGAAAGGAAAGGCAATTTACAATGGTCTCCAAATTAGCCTGTACAAATTATTACAAGGAATTACGCAGCAGAGAAACTGCACTGGTCTTGCACAAAGCAGACTGAGTGGAAGATGGCTCTTCCTAGGCTTTGAAATTTTCAGAAAGACACCATAGAACACTTGCTTGTGGGTCAGGTTTCAAAGACTGTGGATAATTCCCTCTCTTTCACTTTGATTGAAGAAAAAGCTGTGTTTTTAGACATGCCTGGTTTCACTATCTTCTCTGTGTGTGTGTGTGATTTGACTGACTGAGGTAATCTGCACGAGAAATCTAATGAGACCTAAGTAAACTTTATTGTCTTTTGAATTAAGGCAAGCTATAACTGCAAGAACTCTGAAGCAAACGTGGGCAGCTATAATTATTCAGAAATACTGTCGAGGTTACTTGGTCCGTAGACTTTGCCAGCTCATCCATGTGGCTGCTGTAACAATTCAAGCTTATACAAGAGGATTTCTAGCAAGAAAAAAATACCGGAAGGTACATCCTGTCAAAAATTTTATTTCAGTAACTGGAAACAGCTATTGTGCTATGAGAAAGATGGAGACAAGGGCAATGATCCCTAATACTTTACCTGGTTCTTATGTCTTCTGCTCTGTTTTTGTGCTGTAACTATAAAACTACTGAAACGCAGTAGCTTAGATCTAATCTACAAGCTACACAGAGCCCTGTGTGGTTTATACTTGATGCAGATCATTTAGTGTCCTTACGACTGGTTCAAGTGTGTCTCCAGTTTGGGTATTTCAGCATTTTGATTCTTCCATGAGATGCATTGTCGTTACCAGTGTCTGCAGAATCACAGAATGTTCTAATTGATTCTTACTGAGCCGTAGATAATTACAGGCAGGTGTCACTATTTTATTTTGAAGATGCTTGAAGAACACAAGGCTGTGATCCTCCAGAAATACGCCCGTGCATGGCTTGCCAGGCGCAGATTTCAGAATATTCGTCGGTTTGTATTGAATATCCAGCTTTCATACAGAGTTCAGCAGCTGCAGAAGAAGATAGAAGAGCAGGTGAGGGTCACCAGTCAGTTTGTGATTTGTACTATTTTTGTCATCATACCCATTTTATTCAGAGCTCTCATGTTGACTAGAGGCTTACGTGAATTACGATATCCATGCTTTACTTGACAAGACAGAAGAATACGTAAGGGATGTAGTCCTTTATTATAAACCGCTGGTATTCTTGCTACATCCACATTAGGAAGAATCGTCCAGGCTTTCCTTATATTTTTGTATTAGTTGTGCTGATGATAACAGTCTGCAATGAAGATGTCTTTTACTCTTTCTTAAGTAGTCCGTCCAATCTCTGGATGGGGTTACTTGTATTAGCATGAAGGATGTGTGAGATACTGCTCTGGTGCAACGTATTTAGTAACTTTTGGGAATTTCATATTATATTTACTTTGCTGCTTACTTTTGAAAGCCATACCAGCCAAATCATCTTTAAGATGGGATGGTAGCTTTAATGTAGTTGCCGGAAACAGTCCTGGGTTGAAATAACCATGTCTGTTATGGGCTGGTGAGCAGAAATAGGTCAAGTGCTTCCTCCGAAATTGTGTTAAACAGTGTCAGGTATGCATTTTTCTGTTTTCCTTTAACCTGTCTTGCTCATTGTAGAGTAGAGAAAATCATGGTTTGCTGGAACGATTGACCAGCCTGGCTTCGACTCACGTGAATGACATGGAAATAATACAGAAACTCGAATTAGATCTTGAAAAGGCAACTGCTCAAAAGAGAACGTATGAAGAGAAAGGGAAAAAATATAAAGAGGACAGTGAACAGGTAAGTTTTAATTGCCATCTTGGTGATTTTATTTTAGTATAAATATTTTTTTAAGTTACTGGATTTATCAAATGTATGATTCAAGGGTTACCAAGTAACTTGGATGGAGGTGGCAGGGAAGGAAGGGACTCCATCCATATATGCTTGTTAAAATGTTAAACCTTCTGTGACCTATTCCTTCCTCCTTTGTAATTTGTATATTATGTTTGCTTTTTGTGTGTACAGAAAATCCTAAAACTCGAGAATGAGAATAAAGAATTACAACAACAGAAAGAGACCTTGGAAATAAAGCTCCAAGAGAAAACTGAGGAAATGAAAGGTACAATAAGTAAAAGGAGTTTTAAAATATGTTTAAAGGAGTTACAGTGGGGTAAAGTTGTAAAGTCAGGGGATTTTTTATTCTAAAAGTTTTAATTTAATAATTAAATTAAATCTCTTCTTTCAGTAGCAAAAGCTCTCCTGTTTCCTGTTTCATGCACGTACATTCCTTCAGAGTGTTGCTTCCACTTAGATTCCTTTAATATACTGCTTATCGGAATGTGATTTCAAAGCACACCAGCAGCACATGAGAATAAGTGTACTTTAGATGAATAACACTTTGATGTTTCAGAACCTTTTTGTTTTATAACATTACTTGTAAAATCTACTGCGATAATTTTTGGCACTTGAAAGAGTACTTTCTATTGTAAAATATGTTAAGGATTACATACTAAAACAAAACTTTGCATTGTTGTCATCCTGTTTTAATAAATGTGCACAATTGCATGAAAGTCTTTGAAATATTGAAATGTCTTTTGACAGAGAAAATGGATGATCTCACAAGGCAACTGTTCAGTGATGTACAAAAAGAAGAAAACCAGAGAATGTATGGAATCTGAATTTTATTTCTTTGGAACAGAATTTATTTTTTCTCTTTCTCTGCGTTGCTTTCTGCTGCTGTAAATATGTTATGCTCATGTCACTTAGGAATCTGCCAGTGTTCTAGGACATTAGTGCTAGTCCTGAAGTCCTTTGTGTAGAGCTGAGGATAAGCACATGCTTGTTTCTGCATCAGTCACGTGCAGGAAGTATATAGTAGACCTGAGACTGTTCTTGCTTTGGCAGCTTTCCTGTCTTCTCATGTGTCTTTCTGGAATTTGAAAGGCAGCTCTCATCATAATAGTTTCTTTGGAGATAGCCTCAGACTTCAGGCAGGACTGGAAGAGCAGAATTCCTGGGAAGTTAGTATTAAAGAATTGCAAGATTCAGCTTGAGGGAAAGGCGATGTTTGTAAAGGACATCTGGTTAAAAATACAAGGGGAAAACTTTATTTTTTCCCCTTCGATATTTCATTTGCAGTATTAAAAATCGTATTATTTAGCAGTAAATGGCTTGTAGCCATTGGGTTGATTGTTTCTTTTCCAGTCCAGGACAGAGAACCGTAGCTCCCAGACAAGCGCTGTTCTCTGAAGCGTGAGGAGTGCAGTCAGTCACTGCTCCTGAGCATTGCAAGCTGTGTGCCGTTTCAGCCCAGTCTGATTTCAGCTGCCAGTAACTTCAGGCTATACTAAGAGGATTTCCCTGCTACTTCTCCTGCTTTGCCCGTGAGCTGTGTTATGTTGGAAGCCAGTCCATTCCAGCAGGGACTCGTAGGAACTGGAAAGCTACTTGCGATGTTTTACTGAGGACTTGGGACTTTCTGGTTTTATGTCCTTCTGTGCTGACCGTGGCCATAAGCGTAGCAGAAAGCTGCTCAGATTGACTAACTCTCGAAGAGTTAAAGAATTAGCCTTTAAGTGAAAAAAAATCAGTTTTGCCTTGAATTCAGTCCCAATATCTGAATTAGATTTAGAGAAATATAAGAATATTCCTATGTCATTACCGTCCATTTTGTAGAATGATTTTGAGGATGTAGGATAGCATTTTCGAGTAATAGTGCTTGATAAATATGATTCTTTCACTTATGAATATGGGAGAATAGAACCACCTTTTCGTTATCTTTTTTAGGATACTTGAGAAAAATTTCCAAAATCAGAAGCAGGACTATGAAAAGGAAATCGAAATGCTCAAGGGAGAAATTAAAATTCTGAAAGAAGAAAAAACTCGGCTACAACATCAAATTCAGCAAGAAATTGTCATTCAGGACAGCTTGAAAATGGAAGTAGGACAACTTACAAAACAAGCACAGGTAAAGTGTGACACATTTCATTTTGGAGTCTTTGCTAGATAAAAAGCAAGTAGAGAATGCGGATGTTTTATTTACGGACTACTATCACTAATTTCTTTATCTCCAGTGCATTTGTAGATGAAGTTGCAGTTAATACGCTGCATCTGATCACAGAATCACAGTATTACTGAGGCTGGAAAAGACCTCTGAGATCAAGTCCAACCTATGACCCGACATCACCACATCAGCCAGACCATGGCACTAAGTGTCACATCCAGCCTCCCCTTAGACGCCTCCAGGGACCGTGACTCCCCCACTTCCCTGGGCAGTGCATCCCAGTGCCTGAGCACTGTGAGGAAGTGTTTCCTGAGATCCAAGCTAAACCTGCCCTGACACAGTTTCAGGCCATGCCCTCTTGTCCTGTCACTGGTTGCCAGGGAGAAGAGCCCAACCCCCACCTGACTGCAGCCTCCCTTCAGGCAGTTTTAGAGAGCGGTAAGGTCGCCCCTGAGTCTCCTCTTCACATACATGTACACACATATCCTTTTCACATACGTACATCACTATGTTGCATTGTTTTCACGTAGTACACAATACGAGTAAGTTAATGCTCAGAGAAAAAGAGTCCATGCTTCTGGGAGTATTTGTGCCCGAATATTTTTATGCTTAAATGTTTGGATATTTTTTTTTCCTTTTTCTAAGAGATCATCGTTTTTTTCAGGGAATTTTTCATAAATGTAGTTTATAAACTGAACCTGAAGGTGATTCTTCTGTGTAGAGTCGTATTTTTTACTCTGAGCCAATTCCGTGATGTTTTCACTACATTGTGTTACTGTTCTGCTCTGATGCCCAAGAACCAGCTGATTTAACACAACACATTTTAAGGCTTTACAATACGTACTTGTTCTTAATTATAATTATCTTTATGATTCAACTGCTACTCATTCCTTGTCATATGCTTCTGGTCTCAGTCTATATTTTTTTGTCTGATTCAGAAAATACCTGAGTTGCAAAAGGAAATTGAACTGCTGCAGACACAAAAATTGGATATTGAAAAGCAGGCCCAGTCACAGAAGCGAGAACTGAGGGGTAAGCTACATAGTAGATAATTCCGAGAACTTACCAAGTACAATGTGAACAAGGACAGTTTAAATTTGTTTCTTCCATGTAAGCTTTGACAAAAACCCATTTCTCTTTCAAATCCCATAGGGATTTTATTCTAGTCATACGTTTACTCGCAAGGGGATAAAAACCCCAACATGTGAATTTTACAAAGATCCCTGAATACTGAGATCTGGAGTATCCCTTTGAAACTCTAATTTCAGTATTTTTTCCTTTGTGTTTAAAAAATCAATACTAATAATGTTAAATTCTAAGTGAAGTTTAAAAGTAGCTCATAGAGACCCGAGAATACAGAAACAATACACTATCTAGCTTTCATTCATCCTAGTTTTAGCTTTACATCCAGTAAATGTCAAATACCCTTAAATAACTTGCTGATTTGGGTTCTCTTTGGGAAGAGGTACTTATTAAGAATGCTAACACGACCATAGAGCAAATCTGTATCTGCAGCATTTAGTGTAGGAACCAAACACCATGTGACAAGTCATCTATCCAGCTGTAGCAGTTGTCCACATTCCGAACAGGTAGATGTAACTTTGCATTGGAGGTCTGATGTGTTTAGAAAAAAACCCAGTATTGGTGGTATACCTATATAGTGCGCCTTACATGTCCAGAAGTAGAACCAAGTGCTTTACCATATTCTTGTAGTATGTTAGATATATTTACTGAGTACCAGGAAGGAACCCTGTAGACTTAGCGAGAGGTTGGTTTGATTTTTTTAATAATCAAACTTGATTTGAAATGTGCAGAGAAAATAATCCGTGTAATAAACTTTTGGTTTTTTCCAGAAAAGATGTCAGAAGTTACAAAACAGCTTCTTGAAAGTTATGATTTTGAAGATGTAAGAAGCAGGTAATTTTGTTTTTTAAAAAAAGCTTAAGAAATGCATTTTGCTCACCTGCACACTAATAATACTGCCTTCTGATCTAGACTCTCCACAGAGGATTTGGAACACTTAAATGAGGATGGGGAACTGTGGTTTGCTTATGAGGGCTTGAAAAAAGCTACAAGGTTAGTTCAGTTTTTAAATGTTTTCATAACTCCAAGCTGTGATCTAGAAAACTAGTGGAACGATTAGGAGTAACTCATTTGACAGTGTGATCCTGAACATGTGTTTAAGAAATGAACCAACACCACAGCATGTGACTGGCCAAGCAGCTGAAAATCAGTTTAACAAACTTAGTACTAAGCCAGTGAGGTAAGTGTGTGTGTGCCAGCTGGAGAACTGTGTTTCCTCTGTGATAGGGTGCAGAGCTTTCATCTCCCTTCATGCACAGGTGATGTAATGGAATGTCTGCGTGTTAACCACGGTACTTTGGCTGTGCTTCATATTAAACTTGACCTGTTGCATCAAGGTCGTACCACATCTGCAATGTTCTTTCTCCCTTTTTTTTTTACAGAGTATTGGAAAGTCATTTTCAGTCTCAGAAAGAAATATATGAAAATGAGATCGAAGGCTTGAACTTAAAAGTTGAACATCTTAGCCAAGAAATTAATCATCTACAGAAGTTATTTCGAGAGGAAAATGACATAAAGGATGGCATTCGATTGGAAGTTAGCAGGCTAACTTCAGAAAACCTGGTAAGATCGAGGTGTAGTAAAGCAGAGTGTTTTTGTTGTGCTGAACCAAGAATTTAGTTACTTCATTCTTTCCTTTTAGTCAGAGGACAGAAATAAACATATTTTCCTCAGGAGCTTTCTTGAAAGCTCGTTCTGTCTCTCAGGTTGACAAGTTCTGTGGTTTGATGGTAAAAAAACAGACACCCGTGGGGTTCTGGTGGTTACAGACGGGTGCAGGTCTGAGGCTCTTCCCACCAGAGGGCGGATCAGGGTTTCGGGTTGCCAACAAATGGCAGGAAAGGCTTCAGATCTCATTGCTAGTTCTGTGTCAAGCCTAGCTAACACAAGGAAATACTCATATTCCAGAAGACAGTACACACCATAGTATTTTTCTACTGAGTGAAACGTAACTAAAGAAATATTTTTCAAGCAAAGTTACTAGAGCTGAAAATATAAGGAAAAGTTAGAATGTTTTTTTTTTTAATTTTTAGAATGTTATTTTTGAAGTTTTTTAATAATATCCTGATGGTTTTTTCCAATGTTAATTGAGTTAGGAAAACTAAAGCCACAGTACGATTTCATTTAAACTAGAACAGAAGAATGATTGTACTGGGCCAGTCCAAACATTTCAGTAGTTGACGGTTTCATTTTTACGAGTGGCCAGCAGCAGATGCTTCCAGAAAAGTTAAAGTCAGAAAAGCAGGTAGCAGAACTCCCCCAGAGTTTCTCCTCTGTATTTGATTATTTGCAGTTGAAGATCTTCTGGTGTCATAGGAACTATTGCAGACAAAAGAAAGGAAGGAAGGCACTGAAATACCAAAATCTTCTTTTTCTCTAAAAGGTGATCCCAGATCTTAAGCAGCAAGTTTCTGAACTTGAAAATCAAAAATTAGATCTTGAAAACCGTCTTCAAGAGCAAACTGTAAAGTTGAAAGGTAAAGTAACAGTATGGTCCCTACTCTTTCAGTTGTTTAATAAAAACAAATTCCCCACATTTGAATTTTTAAAAATTCAAGTAGTATTACATGATAACATCATTGCCCTATTGCTTGCATTTTTGCTAGTAAAATATAATAAACATGATGAAAAAATAGATTGTATAGTTTCAAACCTGTTATTATAGAGTAAAATACATGCACATATGTGTGCTTTTTTATGTTTTTTACCTTTTTGAGGTCATTCAGTTCTATGGTTTGCATGTCTGCAAGAGTATCCAATAGGGCTCTGCTAAGAGTATGTGTACGAGAGCGTGCCCTTTTGGAAGCAATCATAAAAAGGAAAGGTGTTTTGGAACTTAGGGCATGCTCTGAGGGGGACTTCAGAGGGTGTTGAAAAATTCAGAGTGTGAGACAGAGGAAAAAGTTCTTGATAAATTTGCATGTTAGAAAGTTCTTCTCAATTTAGGAAAGCATACTTTGCTGAGGGTTCTGAATCTCTCTAACTGCAGTGTCTTCTGAGGCAACTGATCTAAAATTTGCAAGTAATTTTATTGACAACTGCAAGAAGTCAGTAGTGTCAATATTTCTCATCCTATATATAATACATGTGGTGTAGTCAGATATTTTGCTCTACATTATCTGGCATGTCATTCACTTTTATCAGATGATACAGAATTATGTGTAAGAAGAGATTTACTGGATACTAGTACAGAGCAGTAAACCAATTTGATTTTGTTTTCCTTTTGTTTTGGGTTCTGTTGCTAATTATTACTGAAAAAAATGAAAGACATGTCTAATCGGCTGCTTTATGAGCTAGAAGGGGATAAAACACAGAGACGGTAAATATATTTTTTGTCTTTTTGTATTTTTTAAATCTAAGAAAATGAGCTGCTGTAAGCTGGGGTAACAAAGTCACTTAAACTCTACCACATTCAGTGTAAGATTTGCCTTACAGAACTAATGTGGCCCAGAATGATGTAGATATAAAAGAAAAAGAGAGACTGAAAGTCACAACCCAAGAAATTAAGGGGCTGAGCAATGGTCTAATGCAAGATGAAACCCAGGATGAAGTACAAAGCAAGATGAAGCAAGAGACAACTCGACTTACTGTGGAAAACATGGTGAGGAAATGAAATCGTCACTAAGAAACTGTACCTGAAATGCAGGATAAAAAGAAAGAAATCATTATTTCATGCTATGGACAGGATGTTTTCTCAATTCATTGTGGGAGAAAAAAAAGATACGAAGGTTTCGTGTTTCTTCCTGCAAATATAATTTAAGCACAGGATAGCGCTGTTTATTTGTGGCAATAATGCATAGCAAGAGAAGATACTTTTTGATTGTGCTTGTTCTAAACTCACTGACTTTGATAATGACAGGATCTTGAAGAAAAACTAGACATGAAAGACAGAATAATAAAAAAATTGGAGGATCAAATCAAAACTCTTACCAAGACTATTGAAAAAGGTAAGGTACTGTTATGGAATTTTTTTGTTTTTCTTTTAAATAGCTTCGAGTCTTCAGTGTGTGTTTGAAGGAAATGAAGGTTTGGAGTGGAGTTAGAAATTTAAAGTCTTGGGAAAAAGTGCCAGGGGAACTGTCAACAGAAATTGCATAAAAGTAATTTCTTTTTCCTGTCAAAATAATGGGCACATATGGGACCTAAACTATACAATAAAGACCAAGTCAGAGGCGTAAGTTTCTGTCAACAAAAGTCCATACATACGCTCACACCAACTGTCTCTGAGTCAACAGAATGTTAGTTTTGCATCAGGTGAGTAACTCCTCCCCTTAGCCTTCGAACAGCAGATGGTTCCTGATGTGAAGTTAGTTTGTACAGCAAGTAATTCTTCACTATAGAATACTCTTAAAAGCATTGCAGAGGTGACTGATGTGGAGATGTATTGTTGCTATGTTTGTCTTAGTAATGCAAATAATTCCCTTGAATCCAGTGCAACTACTCACACTAGTAGTATAAATATTACTTAACTCATAATGCTCAGAACCATCAGCTAAGAATGTTGCTGAGAACAGGGTGCATTCTCTGCTTATTACAGAGAAAAGTGCTTTCCTCCAATAGTTTGTTCTAAGAGGAGCATTAATCTAGCTGTTTACCTGGCAGTAACAGTGCTTTTGTGTTTGACAGGTGAAGCTCATATGCCACCTTTGTCCAGAGAGTACATTGGAATGATGGAGTACAAAAAAGAGGATGAAGAAAGGATCATCCAAAATCTGATCCTCGGTATTTTAGTAACACTTCAAAATCTCTTACCACCACTACAGCTGGAGGTTCTGTATTGCTCTTTTTCTACTGCCAGACATTTCGAATACAGAAGTGCTTTATCTATGTGAAAAACACTTGTCTGACTCTACATAATGCTGACTCTATTATCTTTCATATTATTTATTCACTTAAAAAGCTATAAATCTCAGGAGCACATCAGGGACTTGAATGCACTTTCTTCTTGGTCACCTACTAAATCTGTAAGTCTGGGCTTATATGCATGTGTGATGGATTACTCTTCTGTCTGTCCTTTCCATATCATTCCCTTCACTGAAAGAAACTGTGGGTTTGTGTTTCTGTTGTAGAAGAATTTTCTCCTCTGAGTTACTTTACAATATCTATCTTCCTGCCAAACCGGCTTTTTTCATTAGCTTACAGTTAATGGTAAACTTGACACATTTTCCATGTACATTAGCACCAATATTAAATACTGCTTGTGAACAACATCTCTCTTTTCTTCTCTCTGACTAGAGCCTTGTGTGTCATTAAGCAACACCACAGTTTGGTGGGGCCTCTAGTGGGTAGTTAAATGCAAATTGCTTTTTGAAGTTTTCCTGTCTGGCATAGCCCACCCATGCTGGACCTTAGAATTTGCCACAATACTCTCCTACCTCTCTGGAAAACTTACTACTCTTACATGAACAATAGGGAAGTTTTCAGAAACAAGCAGTTCATCAGTAAATCAATTAACAAGTGACTGGTCACTGGAGAAATGAGCTTCATAGTACTTGTCTTTTTCAGAATGATACATGGAATCATTGAATTTTCATGTAATAAACCTGATAACTCTCCTTTATGCAGATTTAAAGCCACGTGGAGTTGTAGTTAATATGATACCTGGCCTTCCAGCTCACATCCTCTTCATGTGTGTGAGGTATGCAGATTATCTGAACGATGCTGACATGCTGAAATCTTTCATGAATGTAACCATTGATGGTATCAAACAAGTTGTTAAGGTAAGAATTATGTTTGGCTGTACTGTTCTGAGCTTTTTGGTTTTTAATGTAAGGTTTACAAGGTGCAGGCATAGTACCTGGGGAACGCTAACACTTTCATTTGCTACTAGTACTCCTGTAACAGAGTAATTATCACTAGTGACAGCAATGATATTCCTGTAAAGCCTCCAAGTAAGATGTGACTATGCTGAACACAGAATGTGCAGAATGCATTAACATAAATTATTTTTATCAGAAGAGCTTGTTGACAAAATCTTTTAATGTATTTTACATTTTACATTGAGTAGCCACTTAGGTGAAGTGCACCTGTGCTTTCAGCACTGGTAGAAGTCGGATGGACAGAAATGAAGGTTAGTGTGTCTGGCAGCAGGCGAGTGTCGGAATTTTAAGAGGTTTTTACACTGCTGCTCTACTAGGGTAATTTTATTTTTGACACGTCGTTTGGTGCTACAGCGTTAGTACCCAAATGATTAAAGTTATGTTGCCAGTCAGTTTACAAAATCAGATTATAAATAAGAATTGTTAGCTTGTTGTCTCACCTACATAACAAGTTCAGCTACGTGAATGCCGTATTATGGATTTAGAATGCAGTTAAAGAGTGGGCATGCTCTTGTAGCACTGGCAGGAATGGCCTGTGATTTATGAAGTTGAATTTGTTGTACAGAGAATGCCTATAGTTTGTTCACAGACAGATATATACCTCAGTTTATCCATTAGAAAAGCTTGTGTTTAGTTAGACAATGAAAATAAAACCTACTTACAGATAGCTAGACTGAACTTATATGTAGTTCAGTCTCAGCTGTGTGTAGAGGTGGTGTTCACGCTTTGCTGCAGGAAGACTTCCAGTGCACTACAACACTGTGCATAGAAGTTTGGTTCAGGCTAATTTATTTAGCCAGTCTGTCATATAAGAAGACCTAAAGAGTGTTTTTATCAATAGAAGAGGGATCTTTGCTATGTGTATATTAGCCTGAAATCACAGTGTGTTATAGATGCTGTATGCTCCTTCTGCTATAGGTAGACTCTATTATAGCCATTCCATGATGGTCTTATGTTTAGTTATAAAATTAAACTTAAATAGGCAATACCATTGTAAGATTGCTTTACTTGTCATTTTCAGGAACATTCAGAAGACTTTGAGATGTTGTCCTTTTGGCTTTCCAATACATTTTATTTTCTTAACTGTTTGAAGCAGTACAGTGGGGAAGAGGTAGGATTGATTTAATAAAATAATTTCATTCTTTTGCCTTTGACAGACTTTATTTGGAATTACAAATAGTCATAATAGGTAGGTAGATAGACAGATAGACAGATAGATAGATAGATAGTTGTTCACCAGCTCACCACTGTTCCTTCCAGATATTTACATATTCACATTGCTGTGTAGTGGTGTTATATGTGTTGCACAAATAATAAGACAGTATAGAACTAATGGATCAAGTGAAATCAATGAAACATTGAAGTGCTAAAGTTAAAGACAAGTTAAAGTGCTAAGGTTAAAGACATGATATGGAAACTGCTACTTAATTTTGAACTCTTCCACGTGAGTTTAATGTGAGGTGAACTTCAGATATCCAGCTCTATGTATATATGTAAAAAACAGTTTTACTCTTATGTAATTGTGACTGTTCAGACACCTACTGCTACCAAAATATGCTTACAGAGAATAAAACCTCAGGAAAGGGGCAAACCAGTAAAATTCACCGTTTTGTTCTTTCCATATTTCACTTGCTTGTTTAAGCTAAGCTTTATCCTGAGATCCAAATCCTTTTAATTCTTTTAAACTGAGTGCTCTTCCTATGGTTTTTGCTAGGTGTTACAAACTTAGCTAGGCTGAACTGTAAGAACATAGTCTTCAGGGTTAAAGCAAAGCGGTTCTATAACGTTTTGGAATCACAGCAGCTGTGAACTGTCTGAACAACTGTCCCTCCCTCTTGTGGTCATATCGATAACTTCTACAGAGCAGTGGAGAGTTGAAAGCATTTACAATGGAATTGATAACAGTCTTTTATAATGTGGTTGCAACGTTATGGAAAGGTCTGAATGCAGAATTTCGAGTTTTAGTCTGTATTTCTAATGAACGTTCAGGACTTCACACAATGGTTCAGTCTAGACTTCTGAAGCGAGAACTTTGCTGTCCAAAAATGAGATCCCTTTGCAGCAATAAAATGTCATTATTTATTTTTGTTTGCCAGCACGGTTTAAACAACTGTGTTTTGGCGCTTTTTTGAGGGTGGGGGGGAGGATGGGGTAGGGCAGGGGGAGTTTGCTTTACATTTAAGTGATCTAGGAATTGTTCTAGCGTTCTGGGCTAGAACACCCAGAACTGAAATCTATGCATACTTTTCCTTTGGCTTTAGCAGGTTTTAGGAACAGACTAAATGTCGACACAAACTGGAAAATTAAGAACAGGAAACCCAGAACAGGAAGCGTCCAGTGAAGTGAACTGGACCTTTGACTCATTCTGAGACTGTGTCAGCCAGAGGTGGAATGAGCTACTCCAACACATACATTACATTGCAGTAACAGTTAATAGTTATAATGCTATGTGATTTCTAATAGTTATATTTACAACTTTCTTGTAGGAATTTATGAAGTGTAACACGCCACGTCAGAATAAGAACTGTTTGAAGCATTTTGATCTCTCAGAATACAGACAAATTCTTAGTGATTTGGCCATTCATATCTATCACCAGTTCATTACTGTAATGGAGAACAACATTCAGCCCATGATCGGTAAGACAGCAGCAACTAGACCTAAATATAGCTTGTATAAAGATTATACATGGAGGCAAATGATGGGTCAGATTATTTTCTCCTGTTGGTTTGTACCCATGCGTATCTGCATGTGTGTTTCTGCACATATAAATTCTCCTGAAGGGGTTTAGAAAGACTTTTTCCTCACAACATTCCCTGGTGTGGGATAATGCTTTGAAACCAATCAAAATTCTACAAAACCAAAAGCCATTTTAAAATCTGTGTATTCTAAAAGCCTTTGTCAGTATCTTATTCTTTCTTGTATCATTTAACTTTTTAAATATCCTGGAAGTGGGTTTTGTTCAGTAATTAAGTTAACGTAACTGAAGGGAGCCTTAAGAGTTTTGGTCTTTAAAGTTATTTTCTATTGTATTTCAGTACCAGGCATGCTGGAATATGAAAGTCTTCAGGGAATTTCTGGCTTGAAACCTACAGGGTTCCGTAAACGGTCTTCTAGCATAGATGACACGGACACCTATACAATGACCTCTATCCTGCAACAGCTCAGCTATTTTTATAGCACCATGTGCCAGAATGGCTTGGACTCTGAGCTGCTGAAGCAGACAGTGAAGCAGCTTTTCTTTCTGATTGGAGCTGTCACCCTCAATAGCCTCTTCCTCCGCAAGGACATGTGCTCATGTAGAAAAGGAATGCAGATAAGGTAAAGCTGGTAAAGTTTCAGCAAGCTTGAGAAGGAATTTTTAACACTTTTGTGTAACCTCCTTTATCTCTAAGTCACTGGATATTCTGTATCTGTTCTGCTGGATGTAGTCAGTTGATATTTTACTCTCTTTGAAAGAGCAGGTCTTTGCAGTTTGGGACAAGCTTTCTCAACATAACATATTACAAATTGTTCTTTCCATTGAAACAATAATGGAGAAGGAGACAGAGAAAATTGTAGTCTGGAGTTTGAAGTCAGACATGTTTAGGATTCTTTCCATAATAGCTCACTCATGATGTTACAGATAGTATTTTTAATTCTTTCTTACTATAGTAAACAGGTGCAATGTCCCATGGCTGGCAGACAGGCAAAAACTGACTTGCATTTTTGTGCTCTGTGATGAGAAAGACACAGAGACAGAGCCTTTGAGGGTGTAGATGAAGCATCATCTGTCTTGTTATGAGCATCGAGAGAACATGCTCGGAACTCTTTTTGCAGAAGATACGGTTCATTTGTTCTCTATTAGACGGTCTGCAGACTCAGGTGAAAGAAAATCAGTGAAATCTTGACCCATCTGGGAATACTATTAGAAGAAAACTACTGTAACATGTAGGGCATCAGTTACAAGCCCTGCTTTGTAATGTGCAAATATTGGTCTCCTTTCTTGTACAAGCTCAGCTGTAAATGAATATTTTAAAGACATATAGTGCTACAGTGTAACAGGCAATGCTAGTATATATTAACAATTTTCTGTAAGCAGCAGCTGAACTTATGACTTGCTCTCTATTATCCAGACTTTGAGAAATAAAAAAATAAAAATAATTGAAATATACAAGGGATTAAACTTACAGATCAATAAGCTATTAATTGTTTGATATTTATGATCTACAGGTATGTTTTTTAACTTAAAATGGATGAATTGAACACTGTATTAGAGGAGCATTCCTTCTTTAAAAGTCTTTAATGTAAATTGCTTGTTAGGCGGAACCTGACATTTCTGTTGTCTGTTCGTGGTTTAATCCAGATGTAATATCAGCTACTTGGAGGAATGGCTTAAGGACAAGAATCTTCAAAGTAGTAATGCCAAAGAAACTTTGGAGCCGCTATCTCAAGCAGCCTGGCTTCTGCAGGTCAAAAAGATCACAGATGAGGATGCCAAGGAAATATGTGAACACTGCACGTCTCTTTCTGCTGTGCAGGTAATGAACCATGTTTTCTTCTGGCAGCACCAGTTACAGAATCTTAACTATCTAAAATAATATGTTGCAAAGAGCTGTTATCCTTTCATATGATTAAAATAGCATTCCTTAGCATTCCATATTACCACTTGTTAAACTGAACTTTTAACTCCTTGTTTCTGATTGTGTTAGCATTTTTGCTGCTCCTCGGTAATTACTTGTCTGCTTTTTGCTGTTCATCATTTTTATTCCACAGTGTATTTTATTTACTTTGCCACAAGGTTTTTTTGTTGTTTCTCTTAATTGATTCAGCTTTTTCTCCATCTCCTTGGTTTTGCTGACACCTCTGGAAATGGGTCATAGCAATCATCATATATGTAACAACTCATTAGGTGACCAGTCAAAATTATGTCTTTGTAGTAAAATTCTTTAGTGAAGCTTTAATTAAATATCAATAAAGATGTCATATTAATGCTTTCTTCTCTTTGCCTTCTCACTTTTTGTGATGTGCTAAAATAGTCTTTTTGTCATTTGAACAGATAGTTAAGATCCTCAACTCGTACACTCCAATAGACGATTTTGAGAAAAGAGTGACTCCATCGTTTGTTCGTAAAGTCCAGGTACAAGCCACACCTATTATTTCTCATATTCAAGTTACAGGATATTTCATGCTCACGTATGCTACATAGTTATACTTGACCTTTACATCATGTTAGTGCTAAGTTGCTTAGCTTCTAGACATTTGGAACTAAACAAGTCTCCTTAAAATCATTTGAAAGCAAGATTTGCAATGGGAAGCAAACAATGTACTGGGTTTGCTTTGATTCTTAATACAATATTTTCTTACCCTTTCTGTTATAATTTCAGGCTATGCTAAACAATCGTGAGGATGTTCCACAGCTGATGCTTGATACCAAATATGTCTTTCAAGTGACGTTTCCTTTCACCCCCTCTCCACATGCCTTGGAAATGATACAAGTCCCCAGCAGCTTCAAACTTGGCTTTCTCACAAGGATTTAATAAACCAGTGCATTGGTATTTCCTCAGAGACTATATAAAGACAGGCAGGCTTTCATGGTTCATTTCTCCAGCTGGTGCATAGTGTGGCAACTTGCAGTGAATTAAACCGTTAGACACATTTTCTTGAGTCAGGACTTAAAAAGAATGAGTAATTTCCTTGTGATTTCCTTCTCTCTTTTCTTACACTTCTCCCTTCATTACAATCCTACAATGATGACTTTATATCATCAGCTGAACACAAAGCTAACCATACAGATTATGCTTCCTGTAACAGCAATTTTTTTCCAAGGTAGTTCTATTAATTGCCTTGATATACCAGATCTGTTTTACAATAGTTTTCACCCTTCTATCCTTCTATTAATTGCCTGAGGTGCTCTTCTTGAAGACAGATTTCAGTTTTGTTCTCTGCAGTCACAAGTCTGGATTTTCATATCAGTCGCTGTAACAGTAAAGTCAGATGTAAAATTCATGCCTTGATCCAGGTTTGAATTACAAGGTTGTTTCTTTAAAAAACAGGAGTCATCTCCTGGTTTGGTTCCATTTCCAGTGCGGTGCATTTCAGAATGCACATGAAGGCTGCACACACATGCACATCGTCTTTCTCCCTTTCTTTTTTGCTTATTTCCCTCCTCCAGCCCAGACACTTGAGTAGAAGTGAATGCAGCTACTGTGCTCTGGTCTTGTTGATTAAGCTCAATTCCTTACATTTTGTCTCCATTTCATTTCAATTGCTGGATGCTTGGGAGCAGAAGTGGTCCCTGTTTTGCTTTGTTCAGCCTTCTCCCTGTAGTCAGAGTGCGACAAACAGTAACTTTTATTTAGTACTGGACCTTGTCAGAACTGGAGAAACAGCATTCGCCTCACCATGGTGGTGACCGTGCTTAGAAATTTCTTTGTAAAGAATGCTAATTTTCTAGCTAGTCTGTTAGACATACTAATTAAAATCAGGTACTGCAGCTTTGAAATATTTAAAGGGTTTTTGTTAATTTAGTTAATTTAGATGTAACAAGAAGAAACAATTGATTTGATGATTTTTTTTTTTACACGATGTTTGTATAGCTTGTTCAGTTTCAAAGAACAATGTGTAAATAGAAAGAATGGATCCTTCTTGCTGTTTAGTGTTCTTGGTATTTACTGTGTACAGTGAAATTCTCATAGTGATATCCACAGAGAGATACTCTATGAAGGAAGAATTTTGTATTTTGTTCAATTGCAGTAAAAGCTGTACAAAATATCACGGACATGTAGGTAGACTGATATTTTAATCTGTTAAATAAAGTAGCTTTTAAATAAATTTGTACTGTTCTGAGTGATGCAATAGTTATGTTTTCAGTATGGAATCATTTGAAAGAAGTTACTTGGAATTATGTGAGCGTTAGTGAAAACTGTCAGTCTTGTATTGCACCATAAATATTTCTTTAATGGCCTGGTTGCTTTGCTGTAACAGCGTGTATCTTCCTGTCAGAATGGTATGCTGTCTTTGGCTCCTCATGAATTTCTGTAAATATGTTAATACAAGCAAGTTTTATTGCTATAATTTGTATATAGCCTTTTCTGTGCAGTCGCTGGAGCTGTGTGTCCGTTCCCTGGGATGGTATGAGTAAAATCACAGCCCGCTGCTACATCACAAAGAAGCTTGAGAAAGCGTGTATGTCTGTGACAAAAATTATCCATCAAGGAAAATTGTTCTGATGGTTGGATGCTTGGTTACTTTGAGAGGTTTGTGTGAAGTATGCTATTAGCACTGAGTATGCAAGCAATTAAATATATTCTTAAAACAAAATTCAAAATTATCAGTGTCTACTGTATGCCATCAGACACTTAGCTCACTTTTGCTGACATTAATGCCTTTGGCCAGTGTGTGAGTACAAAATTCTGTTTGTTATCTGTAATTCCTTTAAGTAAAAGGAGCAGTTTTAGTGAAAGCTGATAGATAAAGGAGGCATTAGTGAGATAAACTTTCCTGGAATGATAATAAAGAAGAAAGCTATTTCGTTCAAATGGGAAAATGCTGAATGCTGATCCTTACTGCAGTGGGAGCGCACTGAAGTATCTTATGAAGGTGCTGTTGGTGTCTTTGCGGGTGTATGGATGTTCAGCTCCTGCAGTTCCAGGAAACAGGACAGCAGCATAGGTGGTCTCTTTCAGTCCCGTGTTCCCATAAATATTGTAATAAAAAAGATAAGGACAGGTTGCTTCTTCCCAAGTCTCTATGGGCCTGGGAAGTATTTTTTTTCCTTATTTTGCCTCAGATCCCCTTGACTATCAAATGAAAACAGCTAATGGCATGACCTCTGTGACTTCAGTAGAGTCTCAACAGTAGGTGTGACCTGCAGCTTTTTTTAAATGTTTAAGATGTGTTTTCTTAAATTTCCCCAAATTTTTTTCAAAGAGTGCAAAAGGGCAGCAATTTTTAATCTTACTGATTTTAAATTTATTGTCTTAAAACAGGTGAATAGTAGAAGTATATCCAAGGAAGAACCACCCAGGACACTAACCAATCTGTTTGACATTTAAATTTTATTAAGAATATGAGATAAACTTAACATTGACGGTGCTGTTTGTCCGAATGTCAACTTGGTAGTTGGAAAAAACAGTCGTCACTCATGTCCTCAGTAAATTTAAACTTTGACACTTGTAAATCATCCAAAAAATTGCAGCTATATGTAACAGGCAGGTAAGATTTGGTTTGCCTAATAGTTTTGTGTTCTTTATTCTATATTCTGAAAGGGAGCAGTTAAAATAAAGCCTTTAAACTATAATCATCAGTCCGTAACTGACCTGAAGTGATACAACCAGAGAGGCTAAGCTTTAAATACTCTTTAAGTAGACTTAAGAGGACAGTTGCCTTTCTGCATTAGCAGTTGTACATTGCCTATTTAGTCATCTTGAGGTTCTTGCTGTTTGAAAAGGTAGGTAATTCTGGATATTTATCAAAAAGACTGAACTTTTTACAGAATTTCTCTGAATTTAGCATATTTCTTAATGCTTCACCATTTTTTCTAGTTTTTAAATTTCTATTGCAACTTTAAAAACCTATTAAGTTTTAAAATTTCAGGCTACAGCTCTTATAGCAAAATTTTGTATCGTGTCATAATCTCATCTGAAGTAAAATATTGGTAGCAGGTATGATTCACCCTATGTGTTACTCCAGCAAATTCTCACACTTTATCAGAGATTAACTCTGCTCAGAGCATTTATTCGAAGCCTGATAAATCCTCATCTAAAGTCTTTAGATCTAGTAACATTATTTTGTTCAAATAAGATGGCATTCTTACCTATAATATCTTAATTTTACAGTTCTACTCAAGCGGAAGTTTTCCTCCCAGTCTAGTTGGCTCTTGAGGCTTCACAGAAAGTATATAAATGCATGATTATGTCAGCTGAGTTGCTCTCAGTGGGAGCCACTGATTTTAAGAACCTTGGAATAGCAGGTTATTCAGTCATAAATGTCCAGTTTTAAGAATCTAGCAGAACTGAGCCTGGGTGCTGTACCTGCTTTCAGAGCAGATTGTTTCCCACATGTTTTGGGAGGAAGTTACGCATCTCTTGGAGACAGCAGCTGAATTTTTGTTAACTTGAGTGTGGACAGGATTCATGAGTTTATAATTTCATTTTTTAAGTAGTCCCCTGACCAAACAAATTCTAAAATATATATAGCTTATTGGATTTCTTTTGCTCCACTTAAATCTCTCTTGCAATAGCTTCTTCTAATTGTTAACATTAACCTCGTTATTTATATGCATGTCTAAATAATGTTAAGTTTCGTTTTAGAAGTGGTGAAAGGCCTCATTTTCCCTGTGAAAAACTCACACAGAAGAATGACGCCACAGTATTATTTTTGTTTGTTTTTCTGACTATTAGATCGTTTTAAATTCTCTGTTGATGGTAGTGCTTTGATCCTAGAGGCACCTGGCTTGAGAACAAAATTGTGCTGGAAGCATCAATTTCTGCTTGAGCAGCACATTGTTCATAGTATTTTTGTGGCTTCTGACTGAATCCTGCTAGGTCATCTTTTCAGCTTTAAAAATAATACATAATATTGACTATTTAATAATGCAGTGGAAAAGCAATAGATATTGATCAGTGCAGGTTGCTCACAAATCCAGCTGCAGTTACGCATTTCTGGTTACTGCCTGCTGACAGTAGTTAAGTAAAAGCTTAAGAGTAATTTCCTACATGTAGTGAATCTGTGTGCACAGTGCACATTTTGACTGTGCTTAATCCGTGCACAATGTAACCCAATGTCTAGTTTGCATTACATTTTTTCTTCATAAAAGTATAATCTGTGGAGCACGTGACTGTCTTGCAGATAGCGACCGTTCATCAAACTGGAGAGATTAGTCACTGAGAGATTATCCAGCGTGCAGATGTCTGTGTGCAGGCTAAGCTGCGTTAGCTCGCAGTGCGCTTGTGGGAAGCTTTGCGCTGGACTGGAATGCACTAAACTCTCTTTCAGCTCTCTCGAACCGCAAAGATGTGCGACCAGACCTTTTTAGCAGTTGTATTTGGTCCATGTGACAAGTGCTTCAAAGAGAAGCCCCTTAGGGCTGTTTACATCAAATCAGAACAACTCAGCTACTGCTCGCTATGTGTGGAAATGGTACGTTATTGATTTTATCAGCCAGAACGTGGAACGACTGCAAAAAATGGGGGTTGGATGTGTTAATGGTCTGTTATGTTGGATTTTTCTGGACAGCAAATAAGCATTGCTAGGCCTGTAGACTGCCAAACAAACACCTCTGCAGGCACCTGGTGTTTCCACAAGGCTGCGTCAGAGGTGGCCTCTGGAGTTCAGGGATACTTTTTATGATTCTTGACTGGAAAACGGTCATGAACTTTTTCCCCTAGGGTACTGAATTCCTCAGCTGTGCAAATGTGCCTGTCTAAACTGTGCTCTGAGGTATATGTGTGCCGGTTGCTTGGCCTACAAACCCGAGTGTTTCCCATTACCTTTAACAGAACATAACAAAAAAAGATGAAAACATTGCAGTAAACTC